TGAATTAATGCATATTCATATTTATTTTAGAACTACAGTAACATCTTCTGATTTCTCTCAACATGGGGACAGGAGAGCTGTCAATCAATAAATTGGAAAAAAAGTAACTTGCGTTACTTATTTGAAAAAGTAACTCAGATATTCTCTTGTAAATTAAAAAGTAATGCGTTACTTTACTAGTTACTTAAAAAAAGTAATCTGACTACGTAACTCGCGTTACTTGTAATGCGTTACCCCCAACTCTGTATATATATGTGTGTGTGTGTGTATACAAATATATACAAATATTATATATATTTATATTTATTATATATTATATTTATATTTTTTATATATTTAAAAAATATACAAAACTAGCCCAAAATATATTGGCAAAAAATATATTTACACATATATATTTTGAAACATTTTAGCAAACATATTTTTTGGGCCATTTTTGTGTGTATATTTTTTAAAAATATGTATGTATGTATTTATTTATTTAATTTCACCTTATGGGTCATGACTTTCTTCTGTGGAACACAAAAACCAGAAGAAATCCATATTTATGGAGTTTTTTCATTGTTGTTTTTGGAGCTTGAACATCTCTAATCACGGTTTGCTTTCACTGTATGGAAAAAATACTGTATATACTTGTAAGCCAGGGTTATTATGGTTACCTAAAACTAAAATCTTAAAAAAAAAAAATGTGTTACTTGCAATAAATGTTAACTGAAATAAAATATAAAAAATATTTTCAAGATATTTCTCATTTTTTGTTTAGTTTAACTTGAAGTATTAAAACTAAATAAACTAAACAAATAAATCAAAATGATAGACGTATTAATAGAAAACTATCAATAATGACAAAAAGACAACAAAATTGTAAAATCTTTAACTAAAATATTATAGTTTAACTCAGACTGAAAAGTAAAAAATTATTAAATCCCCATGAGAAATATTCAAAATTCATCAGAATATCAATGTGCCTAATAATCACGCACGCGGTGTATATATATATATATATATATATATAGAAGATGTTCTTCTGTTCTTCCTCTCAGATTCTAGTAAAGGACGTTCCATCTGCTCACTGTTACACTTTTACGGACCCCCACATCATCACATTTGATGGCAGGTAATAGCTCTACAATCAAAAGTAGTCAAATAATAAAAGTTGATATATTAAGCCCATGTTTTGCTGTGGAATTACCAGTGAACACTTTTCAATGCAAATGCAGTGAGAATTACGTATAATATTGTTTGTTTGTTCACAGGAGGTATGATAATTACCAGATAGGCACCTTTGTGCTGTACAGGAGCACTGCTCGGCCGTTTGAGGTGCATGTGAGACAGTGGGAATGTGCCGGCATGACCGCCCATCCCACCTCGTGTGTCTGTGGCTTTGCGGCCAGGGATGGTGGTTATGTTGTCACTTATGACATGTGTAACGGACTGGTGGGAGAGACAAAGCCACGGCTCTCTGTGAAGAACAGAGACCTGCTAAAGAGTGGAATCCGTGTCAATGAGTCCTACCAAGGCCGCAAAGTCACTGTGAGTGATATTGGGTGTATATTAGTATGCATTTGTGATTATCTTGTAAAGTCTGAGAAAACATGATAACTAGAACATGTTCAAGATATTAGAGTTGCATTAGTAAGTATAAATAATGAATGTAAACTTTTTTTTGTGTGTTCAGATTACATTCTTGTCGGGGGCATTTGTGCGTGTGGATGTGGCTGACTGGGGAATGAGTCTGACTGTAAGGGCCCCAGGCTCTGATCAAGGCCACACTGAAGGCCTGTGTGGAACTTTTGATGGAAAGCCAATGAATGACTACCACAAAGAGGGAGGACAGTCTGTGGAGGACAGCACTTCTTTTATCAACGCATGGAGGTGAGACTTGCCATGCTTAATTAGTTCAATAGATGTTTAATATTTACTACTTGGGGTTAATTTAAATTCATAACTGTAAGTATGAGCTAAAGTTTTAGTGATGCTTGCCTTAGATTCTTTTTAGGGATGCACCAATATCAAAATTATGGTTGATAATGATAATTGGCCGACAACCAATAAACAGCTGATAAGCCGAAAATCTAAATTATTTGGTGTAATATATTTTTTTAAATAAAGCCAATATTTTAAAAAAATCTATAATTTTAAAAGCTGCAAGTAAATTTAGCCCTAATAATATTATAATTATTAATATATTTTTATTTAACAGTGCTATTAAATTGTTAGTGTTTTTATTTATTTATTTATTTTAAAGTCTTTTATGCTCAGCAAGGCTGCATTTATTTGATTAGACTTACAGCAACAATTGTAATATTGTGAAAAATTATTAACTTTCAAGATAACTGTTTTCTATTTTAATATATTTTAAAATGTAATTTATTCATATGATGACAAAGCTGAATATTCAGCTTTATTGTCACATGATCCTTCAGAAATCATTCTAATATGCTAATTTGGTACTCAAGGAACATTTCTTATTATTAATTTCAATCTTAAAAACATTTGCTCTGCTTTTTTTTCTTAGTATTTTTTATTTCTATCCTTTGTAACATTATGAATGTCTTAACTTTCGCTTTTGATCAATTTGATGCATCCTTGCTGAATAATAGGTATTAATTTATTTAAAAAAATCTTACTGGCCCCATACATTTTACCGTAGTGTATATCCAATATCTATTAATAAATAAAAAATTGTAAAAATCCATTAACCAATATGGTGTTGATTTATTGTGCATCCCTCTTCAATATGGATTATTATGCTTCCTAAACACCAGGTTGACACCCAGTAGCAGCTTGTTTGACAAGATCCCCATCTATGAAAGCAACTCCAGTCTTCCTGAGTACTGCCAATGTCAACAAGAGAAACACCAATCATCCAGCGGAGCATCGCCTCAGTCCACCGTTTCCTCTAAGTGTTCTTCCTCTACCCGCATCCAATCTCCCTCCATCATCCCTACACTGGACGTAACAGCGAATAATAGGTATTAATTTATTTTAAAAAATCTTACTGGCCCCATACATTTTACCGTAGTGTATATCCAATATCTATTAATAAATAAAAAAATTTAAAAATCCATTAACCAATATGGTGTTGATTTATTGTGCATCCCTCTTCAATATGGATTATTATGCTTCCTAAACACCAGGTTGACACCCAGTAGCAGCTTGTTTGACAAGATCCCCATCTATGAAAGCAACTCCAGTCTTCCTGAGTACTGCCAATGTCAACAAGAGAAACACCAATCATCCAGCGGAGCATCGCCTCAGTCCACCGTTTCCTCTAAGTGTTCTTCCTCTACCCGCATCCAATCTCCCTCCATCATCCCTACACTGGACGTAACAGCTGAATACATGAAGTCTGCGCAACTTCATAGCGAGACGTCTATCCCTCCCCGCAGACCGACGCACTACCGTCCAGCACAGCGAAGCAGAACAAACACTCAGAGATCCCAAATTCAGAGACGTGTTATGAATCCCCAAAGATCCCAGAGTCAAAGACGTGTTATAAACCCACAGAGATCCCAAACTCAGAGACGTGTCCCAAGCCGAAGCTCCAGATCATCTCCAAAACAACCAGACCTTGAGGAGTCCACGTATAATTTCCCAGAGGACCATTCTTCATCGAATTCACCTGAACCACTGGTACCATCCTGGCCTACTGAGTCAGGCCTGACAGAATCCAAGGCTCGGCGGCTCTGCGAGGGAACCCTGAGGAACTCCACGGTGGGGTTGGGTTGTGGGCATCTCCTGGGTGAGATTTTGGAGCAGGCATTGGAAATGTGTGTAGTAGACCAACAACTGAAGGATGATCAGACCTGGATAGGAGCCACCATGCCCCTCCTGGAGAATGAGTGTGAGAGGAGGGTGGTAGAGGATGTTGGCAGGAGGAAGGAAAACCAGGACATTCTGGCCTCCCTTAGGTGCCCGAGCTTGTGTAGCGGGAACGGACAGTGCACAGAGTGGGGCTGCTCGTGCTTCCCTGGATTTGGCTCTTATGATTGTAGCCAGGTGTCTGGTGAGTCTGTCTGTATATGCGTAGTTGATATAATTGAAGTTATACTCCATATAAAATTTATTTAAACAACATTTTTCATATATAATTATGTGCATGCAGCTTGCATATGCATATGAGCTCATATTAATTGAGAGGTGGCATGGAATATTTGTACTTATAAAATTGTAAAAAATATATATATAATAGTTATAGTACTTTATAATTGATTATAATTTATTATTATTTTGAATTGGTTTTACTTTTTATTTAGTAAGTTTGTTATGTGCTTGTCTTTTTTTCGTTATTTTTTAATGTTTCATTTAGCTTTAACTTAAGTTCAATTTTAGTAATTCTTTAGTGATTAATTTAGTACTTTAGTACTTCAACTATAACTTAGTTTATTTTGGTTAGTTGCCCAGACAGAATTTCTAACTTTGTTTAGATATTTAAGTTTTTTTTTTAAGTTTTATTTTAATTTACCTTTATTTCAAAAAACGAAAATTATTTTTAATAGTTTTAGGTGCAGTTTTAGTTAACTATAAAAACCCTGCACCACAAGATATTTAAAGTGAACTAGTAAAGTCAACAAGATTGACAAGTTGAGACCAGTTACAGCACCTGAAAAATACAATTCTCTGTATGCATTATTCATGAAATTATGATTTTTAAATTTTTTTTTAAAGTTAATGGATATGTTGTGCATCAGTTCCTCAATCTAACAAGTAAAACTGATCTCAAGAGGAGAATGAAAATGAAATAAATATAATAAAAATTGTTAGTTCTGCATGGCCTTGAATTGGATTTTACAAATTAGTTTTGCATATGAGTATGGGGAAATGTAAGTTGATGCCGATTATTTTGACCTGCATTTCATTTGTTTTAGCCTGTTTTTCAGTTAATCTGTTTTCCTGATGCAGATGAGACTCCAGAGATCACAGAATTGGAGAATGGAGGACTGTGTGATGTCCGTTATGGCGTCTGTTCCTCTGTTAGGGTTCTTGGTCAAGGCTTTAAAAAGTCCTACAAGCTCAAATGCGAAGTGGTGAAGGAAAAGGTAACAAACTGCACAAGCATTAAACTCAAGCATCGCATTTGGCATAAATATAAATATTATTAGCTTAAATATATATTGTTCTGTCTACATAGATAGTAGACGGTGAATGGTCTTTGGATGATGCTCGATTGGTGCCCGCCTCCTTCCAGAGTTCTTCCTCATTAGAGTGCCAACTCCCTGTGGATGACCCACAATCCCCCGCCACTGCTCACCAACCAGTCTTACGCTGGCAAATCAAAGTGATTAAACTCTATAAACTATTATGTAAAACTAAAGTGTATTCAGTATAACTTACAAACTGGTTGAAAATGACCTGTTTATTCGTTTTCTAGGTGTCTAATGATGGACACAGCTTCAGCAATGCAAAGATTCTGACTCTTTTTGATGGCACATGTCAGATTTGTACGTTCAGCACCTCGGTTATCTGCTCACTAAAGGTCTGTGCTATCCATTCTCATTCACTTCTGTTTTGGTTTTGGATGCAGCACTCTCTTCTGATTATATTGTCAGGTCCCAGTCCCATTAATCACAAATCACCACAAAATTAAAAAATATCTCATTCATAAAGTCCATATTAGAGATTTAGATGTCCAGAACAAGACCAGCGTGTTGATAAGACACTGTAGAAAGACTGTATCTGCTGTGTTTGTAGCTACATTTCTGAAACCATTAAACTACATTTCTCAGCAGGAAAAAAAAAGTCTTCACCATGATGTTTGTAATTTGGTTAAATGGTGTTTCTTCACATTTTAATGATACAGTGACAAATTCAGTGCACATTTTTTAAGTGTTCACATGCACTGTTCATCATTTATGTGTACACAGTCTCTTAAATACAGGAAGCAATTTAGCATTCAGCCTTGCAATTATGTACAGCAAAATAATTTCAGGTCAAGATCAGCCAAACAAAGCTAGCATTGTTCACTTTTCTAAACCTGGGGCTCTCTCACACGCTTTGGTTAAATCCAGGAAGAAATTTTAAGATGAGCATGCAATTGGTTTAAGCAACCACAAAAAAAATCTAATGATAATGATATTTGTAGCACATTGTTTTGTCTGTATAGTTTTCGAGTTTAATAGTTTTTCCTAAATATCTCCTCAGAACAGAACATGTAATATTGATGACCTGTGTTATGGAGAGGGGGATCACAGCCCGAGCAGCCCGTGTTTGACATGCAGACCGCGTCTTTCCACGTACAGCTGGTCCGTTGCTGAGAGTATGTTCAGTCTTATTTCAAATTAGTGTTTTGAGCACTGGTCATAAAATCTATATTGTAGTTTTAGAGCAATGATGTATTTTCAGGGGTTGTTTTTCCTAAAGCTGGAGAACTTTCATATTCTACTATTAAAAAAGGCTTCCTTGTTGGGTCTTATGTCATATTTTTCCATAGACGTATATGCTTGCATAGTAATTGGTCCTGTTTGATTTTTTTAAGCTGTTCAAACAGTTTTACACTTTAATATGTTATTTTCACTCTTCTGCAACAGTTATACATCATAAACTTAAAAGCTCAATAAATGATGAAAATATAGTTAGTTTATAATATATATGTATTCTCCAATGTAAATAAAGTTGACTGATGTTCTCTGGTTAAAGTCATACCATAGTCCTTGTTCTGATGATCTGTGTTTGATCGTAGAAAATGAGCCACCTGTGTTTCACACTGATCAGTCCAGTCTGAAGACATTCTATGGAGAGGATTTCGTCTATCAGTTCTCAGCCACTGATCCGGAGGGCTCTGCGGTTCTCTTCACACTCAAGTCAGGACCCAGAAATGTTGTTCTCTCTCCAGCTGGCCTGCTCATCTGGAAATCTCTGTCCACCAAACCGGTGACCTTTGAACTGGCTGTAACTGATGACTGTAATGCAGAGACACGTGCAGCGGTGAAGGTGAGATCTAGAGGCCATCTGGTGAAATGTTACTTCTACACAAATATGCAACTGAAGGCCTAAAGTTCATTCTGAATACTATAGATTGCTGGAAATACAGTTTTGTGTCTCCGTTGTTGTCCACGAGGGGGTGCCAAATGGCTTCCAAAAACCTTTCTGAATCCTTAGATCAGTATAACGGTTTCATAATATGTGACCCTGGGCCACAAAACCAGTCTCAAGTCGCTTGGGTATATTTGTAGCAATAGCCAAAAAAAACATTGTATGGGTCAAAATGATCGATTTGTCTTTTATGCCAAAAATCATTAGGATATTAAGTAAAGATCATGCTCTATGAAGATATTTTGTAAATTTCCTACCGTAAACATATCAAAACTTAATTTTTGATTAGTAATATGCATTGCTAAGAACTTCATTTGGACAACTTTAAACGCGATTTTCTCAGTATTTTGATTTTTTTGCACCCTCAGATTCCAGATTTTCAAATAGTTGTATCTCAGCCAAATATTCATATGATGTATAAATCTCAATTTCAAAAAAATTGACCCTTATGACTGGTTTTGTGGTCCAGGGTCACATATGTATATTGCCAATAAATAATTGGAATAATTATATATTTAATAGCTACATATGTAAGCCACTTGGCATATATCAAATTTTTTTTAAAGAAAGGATGCATTAAATCGATCAAAATTGGCAGTAAAGACATTTAAATGTTTTCTGTTGCAAATAAATGGTGTTCTTTTGAACTTTCTATTTTCTAATATTTCACAAAAATATTAAGCTGCACAATTTTTTTTTAATTTACAAAAGTTATTTTCGATTGTAATAATAATTTCATAATATTACTGTTTGTACTTTTTTTTTCATAACTACAATTCATAAATAAATAAATACAGCCTCTGTGAGTATAGACTTTAAAAACAAATTCAAAAACATAAAAAAATTTTATCAACCCCAAACTTTTGAATGATAGTATATGTATATATATTTGGTACAGTATGTATATGGTTTCATATTATGTTTCCCAGGTGTCAGTTCACCCATGTGACTGTGAGAATGGAGCTTCCTGTGTGACCAACATTAACTTCCCCCCGGGGACTGGTGAATACCTGTGTGTTTGCCCTGCTGGTCTGGAGGGGGACAGGTGTGAAGTTGATGTGGATGACTGCAGGTCAAACCCATGCTTCTCTGGAACATGTGTGGATGGACTGAACTCCTTTACCTGCCACTGTCCAGAGGGCCTTACAGGTCAATTCACTTATAGCCATATGATCACCTAAAAAAATATTGTAAAAACAATTTACTCATTTAAAAGTGGATCTATTATAATATCGGTGTAGTTGTTACTTGTACACATCTGAGAGTCTCCTGCTGGCGTGTTTTACAGGTGTAATCTGCGATGAGGACATTGATGAATGCTTATCAGCTCCATGTTACCCAGGTGTTTCTTGCAGAAACACGATGGGCTCATTCTTATGTGGACTCTGTCCTGACCACCTCACTGGAGATGGAAAGACCTGCAGCCGTACGTTTATATCTTATACTTTTACCTTTATGGTCAAATAGTCCATTGAAAAAGTTCCTTAAGAGGCAGAGAAGATTCAGAATCAGAATCAGAAAGAGCTTTATTGCCAAGTATGTTCGTACACACAAGGAATGTGTTTTTGTTTTGTTTTTTGGTGACAGAAGAAGCCCCAGTACATAGAGACAACAACAATAACACACAGATAATAAAAATAAAAGTAAACTTAGATGAATAAAATACACATATGTATACATATACATAAACAAATAGACCAATTTATATGTACAGGTGTGCTATATATATATATACAGTGGGTACGGAAAGTATTCAGACCCCCTTAAATTTTTCACTCTTTGTTATATTGCAGCCATTTGCTAAAATCATTTAAGTTAATTTTTTTTCCTCATTAATGTACACACAGCACCCCATATTGACAGAAAAACACAGAATTGTTGACATTTTTGCAAATTTATTAAAAAAGAAAAACTGAAAAATGCTCAGTATTTAGTAGAAGCACCCATTTGATCTAATACAGCCATGAGTCTTTTTGGGAAAGATGCAACAAGTTCTTCACACCTGGCTTTGGGGATCCTCTGCCATTCCTCCGTGCAGATCCTCTCCAGTTCTGTCAGGTTGGACGGTAAACGTTGGTGGACAGCCATTTTTATAACTTAAATGATTTTAGCAAATGGCTGCAATATAACAAAGAGTGAAAAATTTAAGGGGGTCTGAATACTTTCCGTACCCACTGTATATATATAGAATAGAGTAGAATCTATTCTTGAGTTTTTCTCAAGTGACCCCCATTTTGTAAATGCTGGAAAGTAATGATAACCTTATATTACCCCAAGACTAGTAATTTACACCTGTTTTAATATTGTGTACAATAAATAATGTTGTGACTTGTATAGTAATCTTGGGACTGTCTAGTAATATTCAGAAGGATTGATACTGTGGAAGTTCATTTCGGCAAGATAAGAAAAAAAATTCATGCTTAGGTAAACCATAATTATGACACAAAAAGATGCAATTATGAGATACTAAGTCATAATTATGAGCTAAAAAGTCAAAATTATTAATCATACAGAGTCACAATTATGAGATAACACAGCAAGTCAAAGTTGACATTAAAACAATTAAGACATAAAAAGTCAAGATAGTGACAAATACCGGTAGTTGAAATTGTGACAATAGTTGAAATTGACAAAAACAGTTGTGACATAAAAATTCGAAATAGATATTAAACTCATGATATTAAGTTTAAACAACGACAAATACAGTAATAATTATGACATTAGTTAATTATGACAAGACAGCTTTGTCCAAAAAGTAGAAATTATTAGATCAAAAGTCATAATTATGACAGTCAAAGTGACCTCAAAAATTTACCTTTTATGTCATAGTTATGATTTTTCATATCAATATGACTTAGAATTACTGACATTTTATCTCTTTTTACTCTTTTTTTTAATATATATATAGAAAAGACAGTGGTTGAAATTGATGAAGACAGTCATGGAATTACTTCAGAAAGTGAGGTTAACCTCAGCTCCTTCAAACCCAAGCTTCTTCCAGGTGGGAATAATAACGAATTACATGTTTTTTTTTACCTCTAAAATGCATAGTGCATAGTATGTGATGATTGTAAGTATGTACATACTGTACCCTCTGAAGGGCAGAGCCCATGTGCCAGTCGGCCATGTTATCCTGGAGTCCAGTGCTTTGAGAGCACATACACATCTGCTGGTTACATATGTGGTCCGTGTCCTCCTGGGCTCAGCGGCAATGGACAAACATGCTTGTCAAGGACCGCAAACAGTCAGTTGCTTCTCTTTATACGAACGTTATCATTATACCTCTAAAATGCATAGTGCATAGTATGTGATGATTGTAAATATGTACATACTGTACCCTCTGAAGGGCAGAGCCCATGTGCCAGTCGGCCATGTTATCCTGGAGTCCAGTGCTTTGAGAGCACATACACATCTGCTGGTTACATATGTGGTCCGTGTCCTCCTGGGCTCAGCGGCAATGGACAAACATGCTTGTCAAGGACCGCAAACAGTCAGTTGCTTCTCTTTATACGAACGTTATCATTATGAGTAACATTCTTACAGAGAGAAACCAGGATACATAGTCTTCAGGCTCGACCTTCTAACCCTTAGTGTCCCACAGGGCAGACACCATTCAGAAAGGGTGACAGGCTCTCTGATGTCACTTCCTCTTTGGCCACACCCTCAGCTGAACGTCCTATTGGAGCTGAACGATCTCCTCCTAGGAACAAGTGGACCTCATCTGTTGATAGGAAGACCACCACACACACCCTAGACCAGATCGACACGAATGCAAAAGCAAGTTCAAGTAGAGAGCAGCTGAATGAAGAAGAATTGAACCCTGAACACGCTGAGGATAACAGAACCTGTGCGGACTCCCCGTGTTTCTCTGGAGTACCCTGTGAAGCGGCTTCGTCTGGCTCCTTCAGATGTGGAAACTGTCCACACGGCTATAAAGGAAATGGAATTACCTGCAAACGTGAGCCGTCTTATGATGCATAAAAAACATTGTTCATTATTATAGTTGATGCTCATGAAAAAAAAAAATAAATAAATAAAAAGGCAATAAAAATAAACACAATTAAATTCAGTACTTTAAATCCAACCTACCATGATGCATACAATGTCTTTTTATATTTTTTATGTATTTAATGCTTTATTATTTTATTAATATTTTATGAATGATATGGAAAACATTCTCAACTTTGCATGAAAGTAATGTCAAAATGCAAAATTTCAATTAAGGATTCTTTTTTTGCTAAATATATTTTCGGTTGACTTTAGCACAAGTATTTTTGTGAGCTTGACCTTAAAATATTATTATTATAATTAATTTATAAAATGAAAAAGATTTTTTTTTAACATGATTTAAATTGCCTGTGTGTGTGTAGCTGTGTGCCGTTACCCTTGTGGTCAGAATATGGAGTGCTCACAGCCCAACACTTGTACCTGTAAAGAGGGTTACACTGGATACAACTGCCACATCGGTCAGTTCATTTAGCTTGGCAGACATTTAAAGATTTGATTACTCATTTTAATTATGACTTTGTTATTATGAATCATTTCAAAGTCACACCAGTTATGTCTTCTTCCATCAGCTGTGTGCCGACCGGACTGCAAGAACAAAGGAAAGTGTATGAAGCCCAATGTGTGTGAATGTCCTGCAGGGTACAACGGCCCCACCTGTGAGGAAGGTAAACTCTCTCTGCATAATGATTTTCTTTACAGCTTTACAAAATATGCATGTTTTGAGGGTTTCAGAGGATATTATATAAATGTACACATCTTGTCTCTCAGCCAGCTGTGATCCGCCTTGTCAACACAGTGGCCGCTGTTTGTCCAGAAATTACTGCACTTGCCCTTACGGCTACGTGGGACCAAGATGTGAAACTAGTGAGCAGACACTTCCAGATTCCTAAATACAAAGAATTTTGTTCATAATGATTGTGTGCCATTGCCTTTGTGTTTTCTTAGTGGTGTGTAACAGACATTGTGAAAATGGTGGCGAGTGTGTGTCACCTGATGTCTGTAAGTGTAAGCAAGGCTGGTATGGACCAACGTGTAACTCAGGTGCGCTAATTCATTCTTAAATTTGATCAGAAATGTCTGTAAAAAAAAAAAAAAAAGACCCCCCAAAAATTAACTTGTCTTCATTTTAAATCATGTTTATTAAAGTCATAGTCTACACAAACATGAAAATTCTGTCTTCATTTACTCACCCTTATGATGTTCCAAACCTGTATGACTTTCTTTCTTCGGTGTAGCATAAGGGAAAATATTTAGAAGAATGTTGGTAACCAAACAGTTTCAGTTTCCATTGACTTCCGCCGTATGGACAAAGAATGCAATGGAAGTCAATGGGAACTGAAACTATATGGTTACCAACATTCTTCAAAATATCTTCTTTTATGTTCCACCGAAGAAAAAGCAAGTCATACAGGTTTGGAACATCATAAGGGTGAGTAAATTAAGACAGAATTTTCATGTTTGTGTAGACTATGACTTTAATAAACATGATTTAAAATGAATGAAGTAAATGAAGACCGAATTTTCACTTTTGTGTAGACTATCCATTTACTAAATGTGATTAGAATCAATTCCTTGGTTGTTTTCATTCTCAGCCGACTGTAAGCCTTTGTGCTTAAACGGAGGGACTTGTATCAAACCAAACATCTGTGCTTGTCCTAGTGGCTTCTATGGTTCACAGTGTCAGATAGGTACAACCTATTTGTATTTCATGTAAATAATGCTGTACAATTAATGAATGGCCTTAATTATGTGATTATTATTTATTTGTGTGTCATTTTTTTCGTAGCTCTGTGTAGTCCACCATGTAAAAACAGAGGCCAGTGCATGAGAAACAACGTGTGCTCCTGTCCTGAAGGATACACTGGGAAGAGATGCCAGAAAAGTGAGCGTCACTTGTCACTGAAGTCATTTTCTAAAGAATCGAATTTGTTTCTTTTCTGTTGTCGTGATTTGTTTCTACATCCAGCATGCGTTCTATCATATAATCTGTTTGGACATGTTTATGCTATGCTTTCAGGTGTGTGTGACCCCATGTGCATGAACAACGGAAAGTGTGTCAGTCCAAACACCTGTTCCTGTCCATCTGGGTGGAGAGGAGAGATCTGCAACATCCGTAAGAGCAAAATTAAAAGAAGCCTTTTATGCTCACCAAGGCTGCATTTATTTGATCAAATACAGTAAAAATAGTAATATTGAAATAATGTTTTTTAATCTACTACTACCAGTGTTCAAAAGTTGACCTTAAACATTTCAACTGTAGTATATGTTCTATATGTACACATTTTATCGTTTATTAAAGCCCTGTCTTTGCAACATAACCTGCAGTGTTTTCTGTATGTGTGTATTCAGCGGCATGTTTACAGAAATGTAAGAATGGTGGAGAGTGTGTGGGGCTGAACACATGTCACTGTCCAGCTGGATGGGAGGGTCTGCAGTGCCAAACTCGTAAGTCCTGATCAATTCCTAATGATTTCTCACGTCTTGTCAGTGTATTGAGGTCACATCGATCATATTTTTACTGTTAAGGTATAGTTTGATCTTTGGCTTGAAGAATATTAGAATATTAGTTAATTTAATATCAATGTTTATTTTATTTTCCTAACAGCAGTCTGTAAACAAACATGCCTCAATGGAGGGAGATGTGTGTTTCCAAATTTCTGTCACTGCCGTCAGGGTTACACTGGACCTTCCTGTGGTACTAAAGTAAGCATTTCTCCCAAAAAAACATTGACATTATTAATTTCCTCTTTAAAATGATCTTTGTACATACATTTATGGTCATAAAGATGAACTGATTGTAAACTTTGTATTTACAGACTAGGTGAGGAAGATCTGAAATTGAAGACAACTCTATCACCCTGTAAAAAATGAATGGTGTGTGCGAGTGTGTGTGTATCTATGTAAGCATTAGTGCCCTAAAAGTGAAGGATACTTTTATTGGACTTCTATTAGAAAATAACAGACTTGTATTAGACCTTGTATTAGATTACTACGGTATTTCAAGAGTGTTATAAGTATGTGAATGTGGGTATTTGTCTAAATCTCTTCCACAGCTCTGGCAATGATTATTTTCATTTTTTATTTGATTCATTTTTTGTGTGTGTGATGTACTACAGTGTGCATATTTTATAATATTATTATGTTCCTGTTATATTATAAATTGCTTTTGAAGAATTAAAATAAAAAATTCAGTACATTTGAAGTCATAAAAATGGATCGTAATGTCATTTCCCAATAAAAAAAGAAGTGGTCAAAAACAAAAATGGGTCACAATCACGTTTCTGCTTTTTAAAAATCAAGTTTACGCGCACACAGAATTTTAATTTGAACTTTATTTCAATTTTCAAGAAAATTCGACAGTTATCCTAAACACACTGCTTAATAGTCATAAAGTCATAAATGTTAATGTAGAAAACACATCGCACTCCTCACATGTTCAGTTAGGGTTCAACAAACAAACACGTAACTTTAGCACCAATTTAAGGGACTGTGGAGGTCAGAGGTCAGACTGTTCTGACATCAGTAGAGCTTCTTCCTCTCTTCACACTGCGGGCCTGAGAACGGAGCTCGACAGCGACAGGTGTTAGGAGACATACACTTCCCCCCATTCAGACACGGCTTTTTACACACAGCTGCAGACAAAGAGATCAATGCTTTCATTTTTAAAATTGAGTAAACTAATGGATTTACACACCATTTAAATAAAGTGTTAATAGTAACTGCACAACAAAAATTTAATTCTAGACCATCTGAACAGTCTTGTTCATAAATCTGTGTGGTCACGCACCTGTGTGGCAGGCTCCACCTATCCATCCTTCTGGACAGCTGCAGATTCCAGGAGCCACACAGCTGCCCCCGTTCCTGCATCCCTGTGGACAGATCGCTACGGAAACAGAGACAAATGATCAACATGTGACCCAGATACCACACTAACATCTGTGTACATGTAAATAATGATTAATTCATGAAAAATAACTTTAAAACACATTCATATTGTTTTTTAAGTATATTGTATATATATATATAAAAGTGCTTAGACGAGTCATTTAAATATTCTTTAAATTAACTGGTTGTATTCAAGTCAAAAATATTCTTTAATATCACTGCATCATAGACTACATTAGGTTACGCAAGGGGAAAAATATATCTATTTGCAGTGTAATTTTAGCATTTTTTATGTTTATTAATCAAATGCGATTGTCATGCGCATTTTGTTAGTAAAGCCGGTTCTGTAATCAGCAGGAAATCATCATCACGTGCTTTCAGATGGAGCAGAATTTACTACACATAGCCATAGTACACTGACACGTAAAGCACTGTTTATTCAGCTGCAGCGATAGGCATTTCCTGGGTTTCTTCTGCGAGGCGTATTTGGGGTTTCAGCGCGAGAGCGCCTCTGGCCTTTGGATGGAGATTTACTGCTGATCACAGAACCGTGCTTCACTGAAAGATACGCATGACAATCGCAGCTTCTGTCGAATCGCGATCTCGATTCCATTTCGATTTATCGTGCAGCCCTAGTTTATATTTAATATTTCTAATAAGCTTTCATTTATTTTTATTTTTGTTTTATTTTTAGCAATTTTAGTATTTCAGCTTAAACTTATTTTATATCAGTTACTTGCCAATGCGGCATTTTTAATTGTAGTTTAAGTTTATTAAGTTAATATTTTCCACCAAATATTAATATTTTATTTTATTTCCCCTTTTTTCAATAAACGAAAACAACACTTGCCTCGGCAATGGGCGGTACTAACGCAAAATCCGCAATCCCATTGACTAGCGCTCACATGTCACAGATTTAATTAGGGGCACGCGACAAGACGTGAGGGACAAAAAGTAGCCTAATGTTCAACGAATGTAAGTTAATGCTGATGAAAGCATTTTACATTTTGCTATATTGGTGAGTTTTTGAGCTCTTAAGTCTATTTAACAGAAACACTGATTGACCAATAATGTCAGAACCAAATATATGATAATTCTGTTAATTATGAAAATTAGTCGCAATTATTAAAGTTATATATCATAAAAATGCTTTGATATCACTTATTCTTCAACTGTCATATTGTGGAGATTGTTCCCCTGTCTCAGTGCAACAGCTGACATTATGGATTTGTGAAATGTAAATAACACAATATGGGATCAACATACCGTCTTGGCATCTGGAGCCAGTCCAGCTGGAGGGACAGATGCATTTTGCTTCTCCATTCACAGCAATACACTCACCACCGTTCCAACAGCCACCATCACAAACCACTGATAAACACACACAGACAACACATCCACATAAGTTAAAAGCTGTGCTGCTGGACTTCTAAATCTCTTATTTGTGACCTCGTTTATTAATTTTTTTAGTGTTCAACTTGTCAACAACTATTAAAAACAAAATGGAAATTAATTTACAGTTACCTTTGTGACAATATTTTCCTCCAAATCCTGAAGGGCATCTGCATTTTCCAGGTCGAAGGCACTCTCCACCGTTTTTACACTTTGGATAACAGTTTGCTGAAATCAACATGCAAATCATGTGAGTTTTGGCCAATTGAATATATAAAACACAAGTTTGACACACACACACACACATTCAACTCAAATCCACTGCAGAGCAAGTATCTTGAAACCTCACCATATTGGCAGGTTTCTCCCTCATATCCTCTTGAGCAGAAGCAGCTGTTGTTTCGGATGCAAATCCCGGCATGTTTGCAAGGTGGGTCGCACATCGCTTTGGGGTCAAAGACAAAAGGAAGAGCCACTCCACGGGGCCCGTCGGACCCTCCCAGACAGATCCCAGCCAGAGCGGCCAGTGCCACCAGCAAGAGCTGCATGGACGTACAGCAAAGCACTGCCATTTTCATATCCACACTCTTACAAGTATCCAGAAGGACTGAGAGTACTGGTGAATGTATGTTTGGACAGCATACTGCACTGTGATCATCTACTGGACAGACATGGTACTGCAGGGAGCCACAGCTGGAAAAGTACTAACTGAGGAATGTGTGAGACAGGATTGAGAGACAGACAAGCTCAGAGTGTGTGTTTAGACGAGTGTGTGTGGTTGTCTGTGGTTTATGGCTGCCTTTTGTGAGAAATGTCAGAAACTTCATCAACAAGTGGTCCCAAAAGGTATTCTGACACCAATTACATTATTTCAAAGAAAGATGGTGTAATCATATTCTTCAACTGAAATAATTCACAAAACATACGTTTTTTTAAAATATAAAATTACAATTTTCAGTATTTGTTTTCATATGCCACATATCAATAGTTATATCTAAAATATTTATCTAATTACATTACCGTTCAAATGTTTAGTAATTTTTTTTATATCTTTGAAAGACGTATCTTATGCTTAGCAAGGCTGCATTTATTTGATCAATAATACAGTAAAAACAGCAATATTGTGAAATATTATTAACATTTTAAATGACTGATTTCTATTTGAATACATTTTAAAATGTAATTTATTCATGTGATGGCAAAGCTGAATTTTTTTTCAGGATAAATAGAAAGTTCTAAAGAACAGCATTTATTTGAAATCAAAATCTTTTGTAAGACACTTTGTCACTTTTGATCAATTTATTGCATCCTTGTTGAATAAAATGAATTTCTTTCTTTCAAAAAATTCTAGTGTTTATATAAAATAAGCAATTAAGTCACAGTGTGCCAAAATATTGGAGCAACTGTAGAAAAGAGAACAATAACAGCGAAAAGAAGAAAACAGAACATTAAAATTGCTGTATAGCATCATTTCTAGCAAATAGTGACTATCTGCAGATTTTATGAAGTTCAGCTGCATCTATGGCTATGTTAATATTGTTTAAAAGAATTCCCCTCTCATATATTTTATTCACTTTGCTGATCCCAGGAAATGGAGGAAATGGATTCTGCAGATGTCCTGAGAATTTCCCTCCTCCTCAATGAATTTCCAGCTCCAAGTTTTCAGACCACAGCAAACGTATTTCACTCTCTCAATTACGTGTATGTATGAACTAAAATTGAATTTTGGTCAAATTTTGGATCCCTGGTTATTTGTTGTTTTTAGACATCATTGTTAAATGCTTTTGTTGGCAAGATTGAGGGACAGTGCATATTGTAACTCTATCTGTCTGAAATTGGTGGTCCATTCATGGTAAATTAAGGCATGTAGAAACATCACATGCTCTTTGTTTCAGAGGCCCATTAAAGTGGAACCAGAAGGAGCTGCTGTTCTGGAACATGAGAGGAAGTGAGTAGGAACTTTAATGACATCAACAGATGTGCAGAATCGTTTTTCCTTCAGAAGAAAATGTAAACACTGCACATACGCACAGCACATTGAGAACACAAATGCATACAGGTACCATTTGTGCCTGAACATTCCAGCTTATTACAATGATACTTCTGAACTTTAAAGATACAATATTTACCCACCTAAAATGGAAAAGGACCACAGCCATAACTGCTTCAGACTTTGGTGGACCGCCATAGGGGGATGCAATGCCCAATATTAGTGGTTAAATGTTTTTTAACGTCTTTTTTTATCACCCACCACAATTAAGTGGTTCCAAAAAATAAAAGCTTTTTTTTTTTTTACATTACTAACCTTTAGAAGACATTATTTCAACCCCAACTCTCCTGATTGAGTTTTACCTCACTCGATCTATTCCTGTATTGAAGTACCATATCTTGTATGCGCCATCTTGTGGATTATTGCAGCAACCACACTTTTCTCTACAAAATTTACATTTGTTAATGGGTTTTGTTTTAGTTTAACAAAGCACAAGAGACTTGACTATATTACTAATAAAAAGATTAACAAAAATGTTCTATTTCAGGCTAACCCACAAAGTAATCAGATTAAATAGACAATGCTTTTTATTTATTCAGTCCTTACTAATATGACTCACCACAACATGAAACACTACTGTACGGTGACGCATTGCTGCCACACACATATTGTTTTCTCGTTAAAACGACATATTTTTTCTCCTAATAACGACATATTATGTCATAAAAACGTTATGTTTTCCCGTTATTATAGATAGGCTATATGGTACATTATGTGAGCGAGCTAAGCGACTGCGATTAATTGCACAGCCCTAATGATGGTGTAGAAAGACATCAGCGCTCTGGCTGAAACGTGCGGATCAGTCCTGACGTGTTCTCCCTACAGTACAGACTTCATCTTCTGCCATTTGTAACACTCAGAACAGGTTTTTGTTTCACCACATGGGAACGTGAGGAACTATGGTTCATACAGAGGAACATCACTGTATCACACTCATGTGTCTGTGTGAAGATGTAGTGTTTGATCCACAGTCCACGTACAGGTACTTCTCCTGAGACACCTGCTCAGCGTGGCCAAAGTACATGACCGTTACAGTCATCCTGGAGAGAAGAGAAGAACATAGTATCAATCAAATATAATATTAATTTATTATATAACATTTTGGTTAATGATTATTTTATCTAATAAAGATCTATCATTCTTTTCAACTGAAAAACACTAAATACAATAAACAAAAAATGAATACAGTAACATTTTTCTAAATAAAAAAAAATGTTTATTTTTTTTTTCAGTCTGTTCATTTACATAAAATTTTGAACAATGATTCTTAAAAGGAGTCAGATTTTCCATTATAGAATACTTACTGCATCATGACAACAATGTTATGCACTTTAATTGATGGCATGGTACAGTAGTCACTGTAAAAACAGAGTCAGGCAATCATCACACTCATTCTAAAACACTATCAGTAAGATAAACTGTCTTTATGAAGGTTTTATTATAATGTAAGGCCCAACTGACAAATACTCACAATATGTAGTTCATCTCATTTGCTATGATGGTGGGAACAGTGTAATCAACCTAAAAATAAAACACTGACATTGATAACAGTTGTTATCAAAGTAATTACACATACGGAGAAGTCATGTGACTAAATCATACAGCCTTTATTGGGAGGATACAGGTCACTTATTTATTTCAGTTATCTTAAAATGTGGCGTTAACTGCCGTGTGATTTTCAATACAAAAATGTAAAGTACAAAAATTTGTATTCACCATGAATACAAATTTAGGCTTGAAACAGTAAGGCATTTTATTAAAATTATGAAAAAACATATGTATTAGTACAGTTGTATTATACACTTTTACTATATATATTTACTTTAGCAAACATTACTTTTAATGCAAAAATTACTTTGAATGTTTTAATAATATTCAATTATTAATTATACAATTACTACAAAGTTAATATTGTGCAGATAATATATACAAAATTTGTTTTGGGTTTATAATGAAGCATAAAAGCTTTAAACGCCAAATATTACATTTAAAATATATATAAATTACTGTATAAATGATATTAAAAATGTTTAATTTATACATAGTATGGAAAATTATTTATAAATAATTATAAAATATAATATAAAAATAAAATTATTCTTAATTATGAATTTTTTTTGAATAAATGAACACAGACCTGACGCATATCCAGAGGGGTGATACTGGTGACATTACTGACGATAGACTTTCCAATCACAGTCTTGTAGAACTGCACCTGCGCTGTGATGTTGGCCACGTGTACTGGGTAGTAATTATTGTTGGTGATGTTCAGAGTATTCTGAGAAAGACAAAAAAATACTCTTATTTAATACAGTTTAATAAAAACATGGCAACAAAATATAACAAAAAACCCTGACTTTGCCAAAAGTCCCATCTGATCAAGTACACAAAGAATAGAATCACAAATCAAACATTGGTTAACAAGTCTGAAATACTGATTAAAAGGGTTTGCTATAGATATTACCGTTATATTTATATATATTATCCGCTGGTCTCGATTGTATGCGACATAGGCTGACTTCACCCCAACATAAGAGACGTCAATAGTCCGAGGGAACAGGAAGAACACAGCCAAACCAGAAAGTAGCAGACACAGAACGACTGATAAAGACACGTACAATGTCCTGTAATAGTGCAAGAATATACAGTCAGTCATAAAATATATAGTATATTAGTATCCAATGCTGATTTGAATCGGATATTGAAATTAACTTGCGTTCGTCTTGGCTTCAGCCTCTGGTCACTGTATTGAGTGAAAAAAAAAATGTGTGTGGCAGCAATGCGTCACCGTACTACTGTAATATGATAGAAAAAAATATATATATTTAATAAAACGTGATCTTGGCAGTGTGCCTAAATGCCAGCAAAATGTTTTGAGAACAAAATATATATGGACAAAAATTCATCGAAGAAATGTAATTTATTGATAGATAATTTCCCTAAGATAACATTTAAATAAAACACAATTTAAACAGGTTTTGCTGTAAAGTGCCATTCCAACTAAACAAGACAAGCAAAAGGGTTAAAGTGAATGAGAAACATCTTAGTTATCAATGATATACATCAACACCAAAAAGAAGAAAAATTATGGTCGAATTTGACTAAAATGTGACAGAAGAAATGCTTTAAGAACAATTAACAGAAGTCCATTTTTATAACACAAAATTAATAACCTTCCTTCTTTTTCATTCCTTTTTTTCTTAATATGGTATTCCTGGTGAGGTAAATTTATATCTATTTTAATATATTTTATTAAGACACCCGATTCATGTTCAACTTTGTATTGGCCTCAGAACGGCCCACTTCATTTTTTTTATTTATTTTATTTTTTAAATTATTTTAGACCTTCAATCTAAATTTCCCTTTGAACAGAAATTGTGGATTTATATATATAATTTTTTTTTTAATTGCAGTGGTATAGGTTGGAAAAATCCAAAATATGGATTAAAACAAAATTCTCATTAACTCATGAACTTCTGAAAACTGTCATGTTGATATAAGTTAACACCATACTCAAAAAAAACTAAAGAGTACCTGCTCTGCAAAGAGCTAAATAACAATAAAACGAGCATGATCAAATGGAAATCGCAGCACGCTGTTTAACATTACAAAATAAACGCACAGGAAAAAGTAAAATTGTAACGGAGTAGTCAAGGTGGTTTGAGTGTTTGCAGCTCTACGTAAAATATTCTGCTGCTGTCATCCCTTCTCCCAAAATATACTAAAGTGCTATACCTTCAGTGCTGTGCTAAGGAAACGATAATGATGGTTAGGGCTGTGCAATTAATCGCATGCGATTGTCATGCGCATCTCGTCAGTAAAGCCGGTCCTGTGATTAGTAGTAAATCTCCATCACCTGCTTTCAGATGGAGCGGCATTCACTACACAGAGCTGTAGTTCACTGACAAGCTATTCGTCTTGGCTTCAGCCTCTGGTCACTGTATGGAATCAAAGCAACTAGCTGGTTTTCTTGGTCTGTGAGAAAGTCCAAGATAGGAAGTACACATAATTAAACTTTTAAGTCCAAATAATGATTTATTCAAGCAATTTATTCATACCACTAAGTTTAAGAACAATTTATTAATGTTAAACATTTAGTTGAAGCTATATGTTCATATTACATTGAGTGGTATAACGTAATGGGTGGGTAAATGGATAGATGGATCTGTTCTCACCTCTAGGTGTCCTCCCCGTCCCTTGACAAGTAGGACAGGTGATGCTGTCTCTGCCTGTGAATTCAACATATGGAAACTGTGACACATCATGTTTATTGTCCTCAGTGTGAGACTCTGTGTTTTCAGTCAGGTTCTCCTGGTCCTCTTTTTGCTTTGGCAAAGAAAACAGAGACTTCCCCATGGTTGGGCCTGCCTTCAAAGAAAGAAATCATGGGTGAAATTTAGTGCATTACAGTGCAAGTCATAAAAGATCATACATATGCTGTGGTGAACTTGGGCATATATCTTCCAAATGACAAAGTATGAGACTGCAGGCTGTTTTATAATGTCATTCTGTTTATAAAAATATAAATTATGTCAATGTCTCATTATGTAGGCCTAATCAACATATCCTGGCTTTCAACAACTAAACAATATATTTTAAGTATCCTTCAATCTGGAAAACCTGCTTAATGTTTGATGGTAAACAGATACGCATGCAAATGATAACTGATATGAGAACACAGTGTACGGCCGACGATCTCGTGTTCTTGATAGGACGCAATATTGATACTGTATAGCAATGCAAAATTAAAATGCACTTACTTGACTTCGTATTAACGCATTTACATCGATGCATTTAAAGAATATTATTAACACGCACGCTACGAACGTGGATGGTGATGTAAGAGCAAATGGGCCTAAAAACAGGTCAAGCACCATACGAAATGACTCTTAATTTAAGGTTCGATATGAAAATACAGTGGATAGGATAGGAGTCAATGTATTTTTACCTTCTTTTGAAGAGTCCTGCCTTCTGTTTGTATAAAATTACAGTCGCTATACGGTGTCGTTACTCTGCTCCAACACGATTGTTCTGTTCCCCAACCCGTATTCTAAGAAGCCCCGCCTCCTGCATTAATAAGTGGCATGACGGTACATTGTGGACGTTGTGTGATTGGACAATAGCTACGCGCGACACTGTTACAAGCCAATCATATTGGATAAGGCGGGATTTGCAACTAAGCCCCGCCCCACTGTTTATAGTTGCAGATCAAGTCTCAAGGCCGTGTGTGCTGTTAAAGTACAATGTTTTGCTCTGGGTGTAATTTCCTTTATTTAGTCTAAAACGACTGTTGTTATGCGCGATGCTAGATATGCTCATGATTAGAACTAAAATTTAAACATTGCATCTTAAAAGTAAAAGAATTAATATACCAAACCAACTAAGGAGATCACTTATCCATTGCATGTGGGTAGGCGTGTCTGTAAGAGAAAAATAAATGTGTATCTGTTTACTTAATCTACGTACAAGCATAATGATTGACAACTTTCATCAAATATGCTAAGACAGGAAAGGAAAATTTTGGTTGGACAGGCAGAAAGAAACAGCACAGATATGCTTTTTCAATACAAAGAAAAAGCATATAATTATATGACTCATGAGTTGTTTGTGCAATCAAAATGAGTGTTCAACCACCAAGTAGGCATGTGGTTAACGCTTCTCAAATTGATTTCCTGATGTGTCATGATAGTTGTCATCAGACAAACCATCAAAAAAGTGACATAGTATACACACACTGAACAGAGGAAATGTATAATTTACTAATATATATATATATATATATATATATATATATATAAATCTAAGCAAAAACAATGGTTTCTCATATTTGTACTTTACATTTAACATTTTTGTATTGAAAATATAAAAGACATGTGCCTAACTGACTTTCAAAAATAAATTAATTTTCAAAAAGAAATAATCACAACTAGCCACAGTGTTCCGCTATATATATATATTTATTTATTTTTATTGAATTTAAAGAATTACAAAGGCATCTGGGGGTACATTAGGATAAACAACAATAATAATATAAAATCAAATTAAGGATAGAAATAAAATTAGAGCTGTCCGTTTAACGCATTAATTTAATTAATTAGTTATGAAAAATAACGCGATTAAAATATTTTAACGCAGTTAACGCACTAGGCCCGCCCCCAGACCTATACGTCATGAGTGACGTGACATGTGGCCAAGTATGGTGACCCATACTAGGAATTAGTGCTCTGCATTTAACCCATCCAAAGTGCACACACACAGCAGTGAACACACACACCGTGAACACACACCTGGAGCAGTGGGCAGTCATTTATGCTGCGGCGCCCGGGGAGCAGTTGGGGGTTCGGTGCCTTGCTCAAGGACACCTCAGTCGTGGTATTGAAGGTGGAAGAGAGCACTGTACATTCACTCCCCCCACCTACAACCCCTGCCGAGACTCGAACCCACAGCCTTTGGGTTACGAGTCCGACTCTCTAACCATTAGGCCACGACTTCCCCCAAATTATGCATTATACGGAGGTAAGATAAAAAGAAAATACCATTTACAATTTTCTGAAGACTGTCAGTTCCCCTCAGATATACATTCATATTCAATTCAATTCAATTCAAGTTTATTTGTACAGCGCTTTTCACGATACAAA